TAGCTGCGTTCGCCGGAGAGGTAGAGCGTGGTTTGTTGCATGTAGGTGCGCCAGTCGATTTCCGTGTCTTTTTGGGTGGGGGTGTGTGTGTTAGTGTGGGTTTGGCCTGTTGATTGGGGTCCATGGTGGTCTTTGCGGTGTTGGGAGGGGAGGGTTGGGGCGTACAGGGTATGTATTTTACGACGAGAATACAGAGGATCAAGTCGGCGATCAGGAGGAGTGGGCAGATCCAGGGCGTGTGGCGGGGGTTTCGGGGGATGGAAAGGAGTTCGTTAAGGAGATCCATCGCGCAAAGAGTATGTCTTCTTGTTGCAGGAATCAAGAGAGAGGTCAGTTAAGGGGCCATTATGTAAGGTAGGTATGAGGGTGTTGGAGCCATTGCAGACTTCGAGGTTCAGGGTCAGGGACTCAGGGTGTAGCTTTGGGAAGGCCCAAGCGTTCTCTGGATTTCTATTGGCGCTTGCTGACTTCAACTCTTCCACTCCCTGAATATACATCACCCTGTTCTTCTGAAATCCCTGGTCTACGATCGTGTCAAGAAGTCAAAGAGATCAGCCTCGGAGTCGTCTGTATAACGGTAGGCGTACTGCCCATACGCCGTAGTGGAGTCACCGTAGCGCCCCGTCTCTCCGCGCCCGCCCGCCTTCCTTTTCCTTCAGAGTCGAGATGATCCTGTAGCCGAAAGTCCCATAGACATTTGAACGGATAAGTCTTGCTTGGCGATATCCGCAGCGAGATGGGAGACTCCAAGGATGATCTAGCAGGTCGACTTGATGCATAGGTAGAGTGACTGGACTTCGGTCCGAGAGATGCTGGACATCAACAGTAAGACACGTCTCCATTCAGCCATCTTTAGCTCTGTAAGTTGTTCATCATCTGATCTCTTTCAGGTCCTCAGATGTTCCAAGTCGCGAGACCTGCTGAATGGAAACATGTTGAACTTAAACGCTTTGTTGCCTCAGGACTGCAAGTCCGGGTACTGAACTCGTGTATGTCTCCATCTTCGATCTTGCCGCCATGTCGACCATCAGAAACAGCGAGTCTGGCCGGACGACTTCCGCTTCACTACACCGTTACCTTCAGTGCAATAACTCTGGCCATCCTGCTGAGCTTGCACCACCGACAAAGGCCGGACCGCCATGCCGACCTGCACCGCCTTCACTTAATGACACTCCACCCGCGCGCAGCTCATGTGTGAAGATCAGTATTCGTCCTCTATCATGGCCTTTCTCTTCCACGAGCGACGACGGCAGGACTCAGCTCTACGGATCTTCAACATCCTGCCTGTCGACCTCCGCCTGGTAATCTTTAGCGACCTGATCCCGACGGATTTCAAGTGTCGCGGCGAAGACGACGTTGGATGCTGCGACAGAGATGCAGACGCTGCTTGCTTATGAGTGGGAGGTGTCTGAGGATGCTGAGGCGGGTAATTTACCTGACCAGGTGAAGGACTTGCGTGGGAAGCTATGCGCGGACGTGGGAAAAGCTGTTGTGGCGGAGGGAGTGTGCCTGGCTGCTTTTTGGGAGTACCATAGTTATCAATTTCGCATATGGACGGCTGGATATGGGACGCTGGTCAATCCGTTCTGGTAGAGAGGTGGTGAGTGAAGCGGCGAGTGGCGTGGGAAGGAACTGACAACTCAAAGCTGAGACGTGGACGGAAGGTGTCGGGGAGGTAGGGGCGGCCTATGAAGTGCTAGTCCGTTGTCACTGAGCATCTGCACATCGCAGCAGCGGTGACAGATAGATAGGTCATTACGGCGTTCCAGCTGGAAGCCCGCAAGTACTATGGTTCAGCCTACCACGGCTGAACCATAGAAGCCCGAATAACCTTCCCAACATCTCCATCCCTCTTCCCCTCCACTACATCCCTAACAAACTTCCCTCCTTCCGCGGGATCAAGCGCTCCCATCTGTAAAAACATCTCGTTAGCCCAATCCACAAATCCACCTTCCAGTCCCCCTATCCAACAAAACTCACCTGCTTCAATCTCTCGGCCCCAATCCCCGCCAACCCCGTCGCCAAAAAACCCGGCGAAACCGCCCACACTTTCACGCCATCCGCCCTCAGCCTCCGCCACCACTGCGTCATCAACATATTCAACCCGGTCTTCACCGACCGGTACATGATCACAGGATTCACCCCTTCATCCTTCGGCCACCCAGCCGCGGGACTCGCATTGATCCTCGCGAAAGCCTCGGGCTCAGACTTCTCTGTTTCGGACAAAGCGGAGGTGCCGCTGGTCATGAAGAGGAGGCGGGGGTTGAGGGAGAGGAGGAGAAGAGGCATGAGAGAGGTCGTGAGGACGTGGGTTCCCGTGACGTTGGTGTCCCAGGTTTTGTTAAAGGCTTCGCGCTCGCTGGTGAGGTTGTTGGATTCGACTTGGCGGTCGAAGCTGGCGCCGGCGTTGTTGATCAGGACGTCGAGTTTGCCGTGCTGGGTTTTGATTACCTACGTGGCTTGAGGAGGGCTCCTAGGTGAGGTCGAGTTGGATTGTGGAGATTGTGCTAGGGGTGTTGGGGACGGCTTGGGTTAGTTCGGTGAGGGCTTCAGTTGCGGCGGTAGGGTTGCGGGCGCTGAGGATGAGGGTGTAGGGGGTGGGAGATTGGAGGAGGGCTTTGAGGATCTCGTAGCCGAGGCCGGTGTTTCCTCCAGTGACGAGGACGATCTGAGGGTTTGCCATTGTTGACGGTGGGGATTCCTGGGGCTTGGAGCGTCTGGCGGAACGGCGCTGTAAATGTTTTGGATGGGAATTGGGGGATGGTATTGAAAGGTACGAGAATTAATGATCTCTTCAGGTGTTGTGAGGTGTCTTACAGGTGGTATATAACACCACTAAGTACTGGAGGCGATAGGTACTTCTACGCTTAAAGCCGAGTCCGATCACCTCGTCGTTGCATAGCAGCGGTTTCTCCTTTCGGCAGACTATAGAAGCATGATGGGTACAGAGATGAGTTTATTGGACAGGCTCGTCGTGTGAGACGGATCTTGATGGCGGACGTCCTGCGGTGTCGACGTCATGTCACGGATATGCAGTAAAGCCGTACCTACGGAGTTAGGCTGAGCTTGGTACGCCTTGCGCCTCTCGGCTTTAGATATTCAATCCAGGCGATTGACTTTGGTCGACATCGTACCTTCAGATTGAAAAAGATGCCGACGAAGTATTGTTGCGTAGCAGGAGGCGCGGTCGGGATGACTACCCAGGTAGCATCTTAGACAAGGCACAGTACCTATTTAGGTAGGCACCCAACCCTTGAAGCCTCATGCGCTTGAACGGCGGCAGAAGGGGAGCGGATGATCGCACGTTGAACACATCTCCATTGCCAGTAGATGTAGATCAGATAGTCGCCGACCTCACCGCGCAAGGTCAGCCTCACATGCACAGCCTGTCTTGTTGCGAGTCTCCATTGCTCTCTGCATGTCCAAATAATGGACGTTATCAATCTGCATCAGCCGTTGCATCAGCTGTCCTGACTTCAGCTGGCTGCTCGCAGCATGCTCATCACCTCGTAAAGAGGACATCCATTGTTTGGCCCTCTTCCGTCTGTTTGACCTGATCTCACTCACCACCCAGCCGTGGCGCATTGAATTCTAGTGTAGCTTGAACGCCTGTTCAAGCATTTGCATCGTGAGGAGCATTTCAGTGATCGAAAGTCTAGCGATCTTTTGCCAACAACGCACAGGTTTCGTTAGACAGTCGTGATGTGACTCGAACCATGCCCATAATTCCACTGTCGCCGGGAGGCGGTGATGCAAAACCATCAAGCGTCGAGAACCAACCTGAAAAGCCCCCGCCAGGTCCTGAGGAAAAGCAAGCAAGCAAGCAAGCAATCAAAACCTTACGTTTTCCCGTCCTCCGCCCCCTCGACCTCCACCCCAGCCTCCCCATCACCTTCCCCCTCTCTACCGCCCTCCCCCTCCCACGCCTTCAATTCCTCCAAAAACTCCCTCTTCAGCACCCCATACCTCTCATCCCCCTTACACCTCTCCCAAACCCCTCTAAAAACCTCCCCCGCCCTCACCTTCTCCTCCCTGCCCTCCCACTCCCCGCCCCTCTCCAACTCCCTCCTCACCCCGCCCTCCAGCTCCACAACCCTAGCACTCCGATCATACTTCTTGCCCCCCTTATGATTCGCATACCGCCTCGCGCGCGTCATCCCCATCTGCAAAAATTTCCGGCACATATCCGCTCCGACGAAATCGCCCTGCGTGACGTAGAATTGGAATGCGGAGAAGAGGTTTTGCGAGGACCGTGTGGCGATGGAGGCCGTTTTGAAGCGCCAGAGGGGGAGGAGGTGGGTTTTGTAGGGTTGGAAGGTCAGGACACCTTGTTCGCCTCGCGCGATGCGGTAGGTCATGCGGAGGGGTTTGGAGTCGAGGGCGGGGGTGGGGAGGGTGGTTGCGTCGAAGAGCGGGGGAAGTTCGTCTTGGGGGGGTTTGGCTTTCTTTTTGGGGGCCATTTTCTTTTTTCGGGTGGGAAGGGGTCCCTTTGCGTGTTTGGTGGCTCGGGGTGGTAGGTGGTCAGGTATTCGTGCCTTTGGGCGTTTCTATTTCTTTTCTTCCAGAGGACCAGCTAGCTTCCCTGGAAGGTTGAGATTGTCGGGCTTCACAACGGACGTGTGCTGTTGCTGGACGTCTTGTGATCGTTGGATGTACTTCAATTAGCATCTATGTATTTCGTCACCTTGAGTCAAATTACCTGAATGAACGTGACTATGCTCTGTCCAGAAAAATAGTGTAAGTCTCTAAGTCAAGCTTTCTAATCCAAGGCTCTCATATAAGCTAACAGTCCGAGACGCGGAAAGCAATGGTATATGCTGCGTACGTGCCTAGGTAGGTAGTGTACCTTCCAGGTTCCCTTCAGTCTTATAACGCTCATTGCGCCTAGACGGTCACAGCAAGCACTCTACCCGCCTCAATTGCTGTATTATATATACAATTTTACTATTCTGACGTTCCAAGCAATCACGTGTCTTGAACTTGCACACAAGCTTCACAAAGCGGGGATGGTCTAGTTGGTTATGACGGCCGCTTAACACGCGGCAGGTGCTGGGTTCGATCCCCAGTTCCCGTACACTTCTCTTTTGCTTTTCTGGCACGCTTGATGGATGGATGGATGGATGTACGGGCTTGTAATTTTTGCGAGTTACTTCTTATTTTATTCTGGTGGTGGTTCTGGGGGTGTAGGATTGGCATGGGATGACCCGGATGGAGGTTCTAAGTGAAGATACTACACGTAGGGTGTCTGGTGATGGGCATGCTTTCTTTTTGTGTCCGTCTTATGCTGCGCCAAAGAAAAGCTGATGGGGCCTAGATAGGACTATAAAATAGACAAAGGACGTAAAGTGTCTTGTTTCTCGGGATGAGAAATACACTGATAGATTGTTCGTTAGGTGAGGTATAGAAACTGCTCCTTCGGACTCTCCCTCTTCCCTCCACCCACCAGCGCCTCCCCCTCCGCCTCCGTCTCCCCTTCCATCCATTTCCGCCTAGCCCTCGCGTTCTCCCTCCTCAACACCATCCGCAACGCCAACGCCAACCCAGCCACCACCAACATAGCAACCGCACACACGCTCATGCCCTTGACATAAAACGGCGCTTCAGCCTCCGGATACAATCTCGTACCCACCAAAGGCCCCATCTGCCCGATAACATTCAACATCGCCATCCCTGTGCCTTTGCCCTCGTCAGAAGCCTGATTATTCACGGTCCAGGTAATCACAATCGTAACAGCGGAAAAGAAACCCGCGCAAATAGGGAAGACGGCGATATAGCGCAGCGTGTGCCCAAAGCCTGCGGCGCCGGCGCTGGCGAGTAGAATATACCCTAGCATGGCCAGCAGCGCGTGGAAAGCTAAAGGTACGCTGCGGGATTTCAGGCGGTCCGAGAGGTAGGCTGTGGCGAGGACGATGAGGAAGGCGAAGAGGAAGGGTGGGGCGGAGAGGGCTTGAGAGGCGCGTGGACTGAAGCCCATGTGTGTTATGATGGTGGGGAGGAAGACGGGCATGCTGCTGAAGGCGACGTTGCAGCAGAAGAATATTAGGGCTGTGAGGTGAGCCTTGGGATCGCGGAGGGTGCGGAGGACTTGCTTCCAGCGGAAGGGCTGGCGGTGGCGAGGTGTAGTGGTTGTTGTCGTTGTTGAGCGCGGTAAGGTTGTTGACGTTGTTTTTTCGTCAGAGGCTTCGGCGTTGGAGAGAGCTTCGTTGCGCATACGCAGCACGGCGATCTGACGCTCACGGGGTTTGAGCCAGCGTGCTGTGGAGGGGCTGTCGGGAAGCCAGTACCATGCCCAGACCGCGACGAGGCAGGCAGGGAAGCCCTCGACGAGGAAGAGGAGGCGCCAGCTTGCGATGCCGGTTTTGTTGCCGAGGCTGACGATGGCCCAGGCGAGGCTGCTGGCGAAGCTGGTCGCGAGCGGGGCGGCGGAGATGAAGAGGCCGATGCGTAAAGCGAGTTCGTCTTGGCGGAAGAAGAAGGAAAGGTAAAAGGGGATGCCGACGAAGGCAGCTTCGCCGATTCCCAAGAGGAGACGGAGCACGAGGAGGCCGGCGAAGCTAGAAGTGAGGGATTGAAGAGAGGCGAGCACGCCCCAGGCGAGCACGCAGCTGGCGATGTAGATGTGTGGGGGAAAGAGCTTGTAGCAGAGCGTCATCCATTCGAAGAGGATGTAGGTGAGGTAGAAGGCGGTGAGGAGCCAGTCGTATTGGTTGTCGGTGAGGTCGAGGTCGTGCATGAGGCCCGCGAGCTTGGCGTTGCCGATGTTGGAGCGGTCGAGGAAGCTGAGGAGGTAGAGGAGGGCGACGAAGAGGACGAGGAGGGTGTCGAGTTTGCGGCGCACGCGGCGCTCTTCGTCCGGCGTGTAGAGTTCAAAGGAGGCGACGCTGGCTCGGCGGCGTCGGTGTGCGCGCGTGGTACTGGATGTGTCGTCGTCGTCCTCGTCGTCATCTTGCCCTTCTTCGTCCGCGCTCCGCCGTGCTGGCGGGTGTCTGCCGAAACCGCGACTCGGTCCTAGCGACTTCAACTCGTACCCTTCTTGCTCCTCCAACTCCTCCAGTTCATCCTCATCACTGTCCGCTTCAGGCGTGTACCGCCTCGGCCAGGTAGATATACTGCTGGACTCGGAGCTCTCAAGCTTCTCCTCTTCTCCTTTCACCGGCGTGTATGCGCTGGAAGCCATAACAGGACTTGACGCCTCTGCATCGCTTTCATGATTGCGGTAAGGATGACATTCTGTCGTGGTGGTAGATGCAGTCTAGCTGCTTGTCTAGGTGTCGTGTGTTAATCGGTAGAGCAGATGGTGTCCAGTGGAACTCTGGTTTCGTTGTTTCGTTTCCTCGCCTGTCTGGCTGAAGCTCGGATGAGGCCGCCCAGCCAGCAGCCAGGCCAGGTTGCCAGGTCGTCGTAGCTGTTCGGTCCCCTGCGACGATCTGACGGCCAAACCTGTTCTCGTTCTCCCCGCTGTCTCGTCTCGACTCGCATTTCTGTCGTCCAAGTAGATGTATGAACGACGACGAGACACAGTGTTCGCATACGATACGTGATGCAACGCCCTCGTCCCTTACCGTCCCCGAGTACCTACAGAGGCCTCGCCTCCTCGGAACAGAGTCGCGGCCTGAGCACAAGCCGCTTTGTTCTCCACTCCCGCCAAAGCCTTCCCTTCTGTCCCCAAGCCGGCTTCCTCTTCGTCACGTCCTTCCGTTTCAGACCAACCTTAGCAAGCTGCCCGCGACTTCATCCTTCGCGGTTAGTGATTTCATGAAGACGCTTGAATCGATCTACTCAGAACAGCCGTGCGAAGCGACATAGAAGAGCCGGGCATACCCTCTACTTCCGTCTCGCCATCTCAAAGAATCGATCGAATCCGGCAAATTGCGACCAGGCTGGGGCATTGAGCCGCCTGGCCCACGAGCCTTGGACGACGTCGGACTGGCTTCAGTAGCAGGCCAGACTGCGTTCCGGCAGCCTGGTTTCGACCCGTCGGTACATGTCGCCTACACCAGCAGTCCAGTCTCCCCGACCTCATCCGGGCCGACGCCTGGCACGGAGCATGGTGCCGCAACGACAGGCCAGAAACGGAAGCAGCCGCCAGTCCCATCGCGCGTAAAGCCCATGAAGAAAGTCAAGAGGGTCGGGCCCAAGACAGACAGCAGGGCCGATTCGATGGCGGGTGGCGATGGCGACAAGGAGGTCGAGGGGGCGAACAAGCCAAAGCGGGTGCGGACGGGGTGCTTGACCTGTCGTGAGCGGCACCTGAAATGCGATGAGGGTATGCCACATTGCAACAATTGCATGAAGAGCAACAGAACTTGTAAGAGGGGTGTGCGGCTGAACTTCATAGACACGTGGTTAGACAGGCCACCGACAATTGTCACAATGTACGGGACGAAAGACTGGAAGTTAGATTTCCTTGACGAATCGCGGGACATTGCTAGTGAGTATAGAGGTGGATTGGCAAAGTATAGGATGCTGGAGCAGGACAAACCCGCAGTGGTAAAGCATTCGTCTGAGCCGTCGCCCATGAACTTCGATTTCGCGGCGAACGCTCCACCTGCACCTAGCATGTCCCACCAGCCTTTGCCGCCTGTCCAAGGCATACCATCCGAACCGTACGATCTGGAGATGGGCCTGCATCGACAGCAGCCCTCATTACAGTCAACCGTGGACTCCGCCTATGATTCTCAACAGAAATCTGACGCGCATACTTATCATCTGCCTCAGCCACCTCACTCGGGCTCGACATCAGACGGACAGTACAACCCCTCTGGCGCCGCGTCTACAACCGGCCATACATCTGTAGCATCGTATCAGACTGCGCCGACCGAGAATGCCGACGACGAGCGCAGAAACTACTTGGACGACCCAGAAGAGACGTTGTTCATGCAAGTCTTCGTCGAAGAAGTCGGGCTGTGGATGGACTCGATGGACCCCCAGAAGCACTTCTCCCGGCTCTTGCCTTTCCACTCGCTCACTGAGCCGATGCTGGTAAATGCTTTCCTGGCCTGTGGCGCGCGACACCTGACGCTCGTCAACCCGGCGTATACGGAAGAGAAAGCGCTCCACTACTACGACACGGCTACGCGCTATCTTCTCAAGGAACTGCAGAACCCTGGTCGCGACACAGTCGTCTGTGCAACTACTGCCGTGATCCTAAACGTCTACGAGATCATGTCGGAGCGCGCCCTACAGCGCATGAATCACATTGCCGGCGCGCGTGCGCTCATCAAAGAATGCGGATGGAATGCGCGCGCACAAGGTGTTGGTAGCGCATGTTTCTGGCTCAATGTCGGATTGGAAGTGCTGAGCTGTCTACATTTCAACTGGCAGGTCGCGTGGGATCCAGACGACTGGTGTTTGGACATGGACTTCTCCAAGGAAAGCTGGAATGGAAGAGAGGAGGTGTGGACGCATCGGATGCTGTATCTAGTTGCCAAGGTCTGCAATTTCCGCGCTACGATTCCCAGGCAGCAGGATCAGGATCAGGATCTCCGGGAACAGCAGCTGCGCGCGCAGGCGAGATACGAAGATTGGGCGAGGATTAAAGGCTGGGTGGATGCTTGGGAGCAGAGGGTGCCTCGGACGATGCAGCCGCTAGCACACATCCATCAGCGTCAGACGCATTCCAAATCGGCGTTTCCTGAGGTGTGGTTGGTGAAACGGACTGTGATTGTCGCTCGGCTCTTCTTTCACACTGCGCAGTTGTTGCTAGCGCAGGTGCATCCTTACTACGCCGCTGATAGCCCCGAGATGATGGACCTACAAACGACGCACTCGCAGATGATCTGCGGCATCGCTGCGCACGTCAAAGACAGGTACACCTCCCCTCCCTCACCTCCCCAGATCGTTCTCCTAGTCCAGGAATGCTAATTAGAACTCCCAGAGGCGTCGCCTCGGTAGCCATCCGCTCCCTCGCCCACGCCGCCGAAGTCCTCACCGACCGCCGCCAACAAGACGAAGTCCTCACCATTTTCGAAAAGATCAACAAGGAGACCGGCTGGCGCATCGGTTTCGTGTATAAGGAGTTGAAGGAGAAGTGGGGTTGGCGGCAAGACGCGCATCCCGGCGAGCTCGCGCAAA